GCTCAGGCTTTGACTGGCCGAAGGCTTCGAAATCTTACTTGCCTCGGTCTGAGAAACCTAGCAGTATCGTGTCCTCGTACAAATCATGGACGTCCTTCTTTCCATAAAGATTATCCAGTGACCTATTTAGCAGAGTCTAGATTTAGACAACATATTACAAAAGATACAGAAACAAAATGAGTGAACCACAGACCAAGTTAATGCGAAAGAAATAAAAAGAAAACAGATGATCAATATCGACACCGAACAAAGAATCATCTTTGGCAAGACGAGGCAATCTAGTGTGAACAAAGAATGAGGCTGGGTGAATAGAACGAGGGGCCCCTTGTGACAAGGTACTGTCGAAACGGTCGAATACAACGTGAACCTACATCAGTGGAGCCCGGAAAAAAACGAAGGGGATGGCGATAGATAAAGGTGAATTGTGTGGAGAGTAAGCCGTAGTGCGGAGTCCGGTATTTAGGAAGAGCGAGTGACTGCACAAATCGGAAGCGTGTGCAAATGTGGTAAAACAAGCAATAACACAAGCGCGAAATACTCCTCTCTCTTGGTGAAAAGAGCGATAGCCTGATTTCTCTTCAAAAGTGGAATACAATGTTTTCCTTCTAGGTCTGCGAGGAATTGTGACACGGCGCAAAGAACTGTAGCTTCCAATGCTGTGGCAAACTAGCCAACATTATGCTAGCTCAATGGCCCTTTGTAAAAATTTGTCTAGCTGAGGTCTCCGAAAAAGTGCATGTTTGTTGCAATCACCTCATGCAAAGTTCGAAAAAATATTTTCGAAAACCTCAGTATTGTCGGGATTGGCACCTTTAGTTGTGGCTGATCACTATTCCCTTGCGCCTCGTGAAATACTTTTATGTGAGTAAGCGTCGCAAATGACCTCAGTTGAGGGACCTGTACTCTCTGACTTCCCGTGGCGGAGGGGTTTTCCCCACCAAAGTGAGAGGATGGAACGCCAACATCTGGAGCTACAACCGGGTTGGTGAACCACCGCTGTTCACCTATAACGTATGATCCCGTTCAAAAGGCTTCTGACGAGATGAACTGGACCGTAGACCTCAATGAATTCCGGTTTTCACACTCCGCTCTCCTGCTTTGTGGGTTAGACTTCGGTTAACCAAAGGCTTCGGTTGTGAATCTCTCAAGAAAATTCACTCGCTCTAGCTTTTGCAACCTGACAGTATCCCGTCGAATAGTAAATCATGTTTTTTTTGCTGTTATAAAGACTATTGTGCCGTGATTTGTTTGGAACACCATAGGGACCCATACACATGTGAAATATAATTGTGATAATAAAATCAAAAACTATAACGTTAAATGAGGTCACAGCCGATGATAAGCAATGAAATTATTGTTCCACTGGGAAATGATTCGATGGTTTGAACAAAAAGGATTGCATAAGTACGAGAATATTGACTTACATGTTGTTGAACATACTGAATAAGGATGTAAATATGATGCCCACAGCGAACATGGATTTCATTTTAACCTGTATACAGTTTATTGAACGATGAAAATCGGATGTACTTACCATGGATAGTTCTCGATTGATATTCTTCAACCTCTCTTCTTGTTTTTCTGTAACCCGGATACGTATGAAAGAATAGAAAAACACGTACCGAGTCTCTTTTTTGCTGTACGGTCCACAGTGATGTCTGTAGCATCTCGTTGTTTTTCCACTGGTAATGATTTAGCCCTAGGATATTCCAAGTAAGGGATACTCACGTTTTTTGCTCTGCTTGTCTACTTCAGTTTTCAGCTTTTTATACTTTTCCGTGCGATATACAAACAGCCATGTAAGCCCTTTAGGTGAAACATTGTGTACCGTTTCGGTGCAATAGCTTACCTTCACCCAGGAAAGCCGTAAAATACGATATACAAATAATCGCAAAAGTATATTGCCACATTGGTTAGCGGAGTCCCCGAGGGAAATAATATCTGAAACAATAACAAGTCATACAGTGTGCTGAAACTGTGGTGATCTGCTGGACGTAGTTGAAAGCTTTAAGTACCTCGGGGGCTCGATCGCAGCTGGTGGTGTTGGGGAGAGCACATTACGAATAGTGGAAGTTAGAGCAGCTTTTGCTAACCTGCGACACCTGTAGCACCACCATGACATCCACTTGTCCCTTCAGAGAAGGGTGTACATCGCTACGGTTCGTAGCGTTTCACTTTACGGCCGCGAGACCTGGCTCTTTTTGAGCAGAAGATGCTAACTGACTCTGTATTCAACCGCCGATGTCTCCGAAGTATTGCCCATGTCTGGTGGGAATATCGGGTGAGCAATGACGTGATTCGTCGTTGTGTTTGGAGAGGATAGTTATTCTCTAAAGGTAATCGCTCTACGCAATCTCCGATTGCTATGCCCCGTTTTGCGAATGCCTTCCGATCGTCTATCCTACTGTGCTCCTTTTGCATATGCTGGAAGAAACATCGCGGTGGTTATACCATGACAAAGGGTAGAGGTACGATAAAGCTAGCTTCAGCTTTAGTCAGTCCGCCTTCCAAGGTATGAGAATTGCCGTTGTTTAAGGACACTGAGAGATATGGCCCAGCATATAAGTCCAGGGTGCGAAAGCTGCCTGTTGAAATCCCGTGACCCGTAAAAGAACGACAAAATAACTCACACAAAATATTAGTCAGTGTACGGTAAAACATAAAAAAGCTGTTATTCCTGTTATCTACTGTTTTCCATTGCAAGTGTTTAATCTTCTTTACACTCCGTTGTGTATCTCATTTGGCTCATCCCGTTATCGTTATTACCTGTTATGCTGGCACCATGCTTCCCCCCCCCCCCCCCCACGGTGAAACACACATATATAACTTACCGTAAACCTAGCTGCTACAGTATTTTACTGGTATCATTTGAAAAAATAGTGGGTAACATGGAATGTTTCGCATGCAGAACGGCTCCATCTCAACCCTATGAGTATGCACCGTAAAATGTGCGTTGTATGGATGAATAATGCAAAAAAATTACTAATTATTACTAAATATGTTTAGCGGGATTATCATCACGACGTGGCTGCACCTTGATGTGATGGCTTGCGTGTCTCCATGACCCTGCGAGCTATACAGGATGGTTTTCACAGCCGTAGATCCGATTATGCCTGAAAGGTCAACGGGTAGAGAGGCCAAACGAAGCTCAGTCTCAAAAGGCTAGTTGCTTGGGCACCTGGCTGCCTTCTTCTATCCACACGTCCCTGGAGGTCACTCCAGCAAATAAACATAGTGAGGGGAAGTTTTCTGGTAAAAAAAAACCCGACCGATGGACGTAGAAGCGGGGTACCTGGGGTTTCCTCTCGTCGGTGGGAGAAGTCGTCGCACTTCATTGGACAGCTACCACCAGCCAAAGCTGGGCAGCCTCCAGCCATTTAGGTGCTGTCCCGTCCACGTTTCTCTTATCTCATTGGGTACATGAGGCTAAGGGCCGAGCCCGAAAAGCGCACCAGCAAACACTACACTGAACCGAAACCCGAAGGCTTTGTGTGACAGGTCTCTAGAAGCTCCCACACGGCTTCTCCGTTCACGCTCCCGCGTTGGATTTACGCCTCACTGCGAAGGCTCCGGTTAGGATTCCCAAAGAAAAAGCCCTTCACCGGTGTGAGCTGGCGCGAAGTATGCTGTACCCTGAAGTCTTAGGCACTCATCTGGAAAACCATCTCTCAATCCCAAATATTCCCAGATACCCCCTGTTTACGAGACCCATCGGATATCACTCAGCGTTCAACTAATGAGGCCAACTCCTTAGGGGCTACTAGATTTTTGAAACCAAAATCGCCTTTTCATTTGGATGCACTCAATGTTCGCACACTCCACCAGATCGGTCAAAAAGCCGCCTTAGAACCCTTGAAACTTTCAATTTGGATGTACGCTGTCTTTGAAACACGCATACAGGACCCTACTTCAATCATATCCCTCCGTTCTCCTGATCCAACCTCATCTTCATGCTTTACCCTTCGTGTGTCACGCAATCCGGCATCCGAAGGTCGTGGTGTTGCAGGTGTTGAGATTCGGCTGATTATCAAGGCCGAGCGTTCACTTCTCGACTGGATCCCGGTTAACAACCGACTTTTCGTTGTATATCTGGATGATTCAGTAGGGATCAACAGTTACAG